ACTCTTTCCGTAATTGGACGGACAAAACTGCTTTGATGATATCATATGACAAATAATGTAAAATACCGTAGACTTGCTTAACAAAAAACTGTACAAGCTCTACAATAAACAAATAATTCTGCCATACAGGAACCAGCATTGGTTACTAGTTATTACACATTATTCTGCCGAAACACTACATTCAAGTTGAGTATTCAAAAATCCATGATCTGAGGTTCAAACTCCACTGTGGATGTTCTAAAGTCTAGGTTAGATTCATTCAACTTAGCAATTAAGGTTAGCAATATGGATAACTAGAGAGTAGAGACAAATGTTGCGATGTTGAAGAAGAAAGACAGGCAAACATAGTAGATTATCTTCAGTTCAGTAAAACAGATAGAGAGACTGTATTACTGTATGAGGAAAATAATAATTAAAAAAAATAAAGATAATGAAAAAAGGGCCATAATGGGCATTTCAAACTTGGCTATCAGCCTCCATACATTCACAAATGAAGAGTGTCAGTAACACTTTTCAACACACTTCTATTTGTTGAAATGTATTTAAAATTACAAAATCATGAGAGAATCATTAATTAGGATGGTGGACCCACAAAATTTGTAATTTCCAATATGTTTCAACCAATAGAAAGGATGGCGTTCCAAACATGTTTCTTCACAAATGGATGGAATGGAAAGTAAGACTCGAGCATCTTATAATTTTACACTGTTACATAATTACAGCCAAGACACCCGGCATTTACGACAAGAAAAATCAGTACCACCTTTTCCATTCTATTCACCAAGCAGTAAACATGTTTAATATCAAGTTATTAATACATCATCTATACATGGTAGTGAATGGTATTCCATTTTGTACTGCAATTATAATACTTCAAGAAACAAAGTGCTTTTAAGATCAAAACTCATTAACTTTCGAACACAAGTCCTTAGAAGGGCACTCAATTTATAACATGTAGAGCATATAATATATTTATTAATCATATAGAGCACAATATAGAATTGTATGCATGGAGAAACAGAATACAAATAGCACAATAGACACCGTAAAATAACTCTTATCTGCCAATAATCCTCAACACAGGAGAATCTATACCATTCCCTGTTATAAAAAGAAACTTTTGATATGTACAGAGTATTTTTCTTAATCGATTATAGAGAACAAAAGCATTGTTCAATTTCATGTACTATATGGTGACAAATTCATGACTACTGGTAGTGGTAGGTATATCTGTAAGTGTGTGTTCGGGTGAGTATTTACAAACTTGATTTTGGCTGATCTTGATTTTGTAAAATTGATTTTAACTAAAAATAACTCGGAAATGAAGTGATTTATATTTGAAAACTTTTGGTCCCTATAATTTGACAAATGAGTGATTTTGGTCCCTGAAGTTTCATTTGCTTAAATCAGCTCTCTATACTTTACAATGAAATTTGATTTTAACATGTCTAATTTTTAACATCAAAGATAGTGTTAACGACATTTGGTGATGTGGAAACATCTAATGATATGGTAGTCCATTAGGTCTGTTTGGTTCAAAGGAGGGGAGGAGAGAGGAGGAGAGGGAAAGAATTAGAAGTTTTATTTGGCTCATAGGAGAAGGGAAGGACTTTAACAGAGAGAGTAAATATCTCTTTTTTTGTTTGGCTCACATGGTGAGGAGAGAAATTTCAAAAACTAATTTACTTTTGCACCCTTATGATTTGAAATTATAAAACACAGGGATATTTCTGACATTATACTCAAAATGTTTTAAATCACTTCCCCTTCCTTCCAAATCCCCTCAATATCTCAGGGGGACTAAAATTAGATGAGGAGGGTTTTACTCCCCTCCATTACCCTCTTAAAACTTGAGCTCACGTCAGCTTACTACATTAATAATTAGACAAGATATTAACAATTAGACTGGATTTATACTTTAACATAATGTTTGGTTGGAGGGGAATGGAGGGGAGGGATATTTTTAAATTTTGTTGTTTGGTTATCATGTGAGTAACATTTTGCATCATAACAACATTTTTGTGTCACAAGACATCCATTTTGTGTCATGCCATGTCATTTGGGTCTGTTGCTGCATCACAAAATATAATCCACATAAGCTCAAATGTTAATAATTGAACGAAATATTAGTGTGTTTTGATTGTTGTTACAAAGGCACCAAACATCCGTTTGCGCATTCCAAAGCACAAAACAGAGAAGCGACAACACTGATAGCTTAAAAAAAACGTGGGCTACGTTCAACAGAACGGTAACCCAAACGCTTCGTTAATAGTTGGATAGCATTTCGTTAATTTGAAAAGTATGGGAAATTGGTATAAGCAATTTAAACTAGAAGGAGCAAAATCACCCTTGTGATAGATCAAAAACACAATTAAACCTTAACTTAGTATTTGAATTCTAAACTCAATGCAAAAGCTACACTTTTTCAGTTATAGTCTTCGGAGCTTCTGAGAGCAAAATTACATTTAATGAGCAACACAAACAAAAAAATTTCAGTGAAATCACATTTCAATCAGTGTAAATGATTGTCAGACTTTGTAACCTACATCGATAAAAGTGAAAGTATGGTCAAGCATGAAATTTATTCCATGAGTTGAATTATGATACACACAGTCTGTTAAAAAGTTTACATTATTACCCAAGTAAACAATTTTATCATAAATGAAAATCTATGATCGGGGTGTCCAGTAAATTCTTATTGCACTGTTAACAATTGACAAACAACATAGAATTCCTAGACACTTACACTCAAAGAGAACGAAAAATTCAAACTAACCACTACATTGTTGCCCTAAAGTTTATCTTGGTCTACCAGGAAAAAATGCAGCCTGTCAAACAAAACACCAAAAATCCAGAAACTTGCATGACAAATTGACTCACATGGAGTCTCTCCAATATGACATTACATTGGCCTTGCCTCCACATAACACAAGCGAAATTATAGAAATCCAAGACTTACAAGGTCTATCATTCCTTTATAAGGATTATGAAGTAAAGTCGTTACAAACAAAAGCTGAAGCGAAATGTGATTATTCAAGAATCAAGATCAAACACGTCTACTACAAAAGAGGGGTTTTTTTAACGAGAAAGGAAAAAAAAAAAAAAAAAAAGATTATTTTTTGTTGTAGCGAGCTACCTCATCGTCGTTGGGGAAGAAACCCATGAGTCTCCCAGCGGAGTTCTGGTAAGCGTACATGAAGCCACCCATGACTCCAATGAGACCCCCTGTCACCATCGAAGGACCCCTAATTCCGGGCTTAATCCCTAACAAAGAAAGAAAAAATCAAAATTTTAATTTCCCAATTCAATTTGATTCGATTGGATTGAGAATGAGAGGTACTGACCGGAGAGGTAGCCGACGGTGACGGAAACGCCGGTGATGGTGACGAATCGGAGATAGTCGAGGGTGTTGAAGTTTCCGACGACTTTGGTGAAAGGAGGGTTACGATCAATGACAGGGTACTCTGGTTTCGTCGATGCGGTTATGTCTGTGTTCATCTTTCCGATTTCTACTCTCTTTTTCTCTCTCACTGCTTCAACACGCTCTACAACCTCAACAAACAACACACTTACACTCTCTGTCGCTGCTTACCTTAGATCATTTCTGGTCACCATTGGGCCTTTAGGCCCACTTTCCTCCTTCTCTTTGCATTCCACCTTGAGCTTGGATTCAACAAAAACATTGTCTGTTACTATTCACACCCCTCCAAATTGCTATTTAAAATTGTAGCTTTATTCTGTATTGTATTTGTGTTCATTTACTATCTTAATTTCGTAAATTTAGTGAACAAAAAATTAGAATTAGGTTTCCACTATTTTAATGGTGCATTTTTTGTGAAATAATTAAGTTCACATCTATTATTTCACAAAAAAAAAAAATTGATATAAAAGAAAAAATTGGAAGACCGATGCTTTTCTTTTAATAAGTAAAAGTGAAATTAAGTCTAAAACTTTTGACATCCTTTTGTTAGTGTGGTTGGGTATTATTATGTGTCCATTACTTAAGTTATGGTTATTTATCTCGAGACTAGTGCTTTGAATAAATTTAAAGAAAAGTTTCTCCTTTTTCCTACTACCATGCCACTTTGAGGGGTGAATTTATTTTATGCGGATTAAAAAAAAAAAAAAAACTTCCTCTTTACTTTTTTAAATAAACAGTATTATTTTTAATATTTTTATCTTATTTCTATCTCCTTCACCCCCCCCCCCTTTATTTCCACACATTTAATCAAAATGTAGGGAATTTTGGATTAATTAGATTTAGAAAGTATTTTTTTTCCATTTATTGTTTTTATTCTAAATGAAAATATTATATAATATTTATTTTATTTTATGTTTTAAAATATATGAATAAAATAATAAAATTATTATATTTACGTTGTTTACATTTTTTAAAAAATAAGGTAATATTTTTATTAATAAAAAAATATTGTTTTGAAAGTAAATAGGTCCTTAGAAGGTTAATCCCGTCCATATAGTCCCAACTAATTGAAAAATAAAAATTTACATATCACTTCAACTAGCTGTTACACCATACTACTGCATATATGCAGTATATTATTTGTGTGTTATAATTTTTTATACATTATTTGTGTATTAATCTAAATTTGTATTTCTTAAATTGAAATCTCATTTGGGCATATATATATATATTATTTTAATCAGTATGTTTGCTCTCTTTCTTTCCTTTTGTTTTTCAAAAAAGTTTCTTAAATATTTTTTAAAATAAATTTTATTTAGAATTTATTTTTTTCATTCCTCTTCCTTCACTTCTCTTTCTTTTGCTATTCTAGCGTGAACTTTTAGAAGAGCTTGAGCTCTCCAACTAAAATAACCGATTTTTACCACTTCTCTAACATGCATTTATATATGTATTGGGAGTTTAGGCTTATATTTGTTTACATTTTGCATTGAGAAAAATATTTGTGCACATAAAAACCAAAAATACAAAATTAAGAATTAAGAAATTCTTGAGTTTTATTTTGTCTTTTCTTATTGCACCTTTAGACTTGTTAAATAGTGTAATTATAAGACTTTGGACCCATTGCATTAATTGGGTCTCTCTCAACTATCCTTAATTTTACAATAAGTTTATGTCAATGATTCATTAAATATTTAATAGATTTAATGTAAATATGGTGTGATACACTAACGCATATGTTAATATAGTACTAAGGTACCTCCAATAGATGTTCTTATTTCACTTTTTTTTATTAAGCATCATTACTGAATAATTCTTACCGGAGAATGTACTTATTAAACACCCTCAAACAACAATACTTATATAACCACATCTTAAAAAGTAAGTTCTTAAAAATTGTGAGTCCACTTACTTGTTTTCTTAATGAAATAAAAAGATAATATAAGAATATAAGGCTAATTATGAAACTAATATAATAAGAACTTTAGAATTACGATATTGGAGAAATGAATTACTTAAAGTATAAAAAATAGATATGAATGATATGTAATTATGGAACCTATTTTAGAATTCAAAAACTAAAAAAAGTAGAGTGCTAGAATGTAGATGGCCAATATGCCAATGTGACAGTTATGGATTTCACTCTTTTAAAGTAAAAAAATTTAGATGATAAAATATATTTATAATTATTGATTATAAAATTAATTATAAAATCAAATTCCATTAAAATAAAATTTAATATAATATTAACTATTAATTTTTAATTAATAATTATGATTATACTTTATTTTTTAAAGTGTAACTATTTCATTTTAAATTAGCCCAATCTTCTATTAGCATTTTAGTAACACGTCTCTTGCCAATTGCCATGTCAATAAAATCTGCTAAATATTTAATGGATTATTGATGGGAGACTTATTGTAAAATTGAAAAAAGTTGAGATACTCATAATATTTAAATATTGGTTAAAGAGTTTTTTAGTTGGTATAGTTTTTTTACTTAATTTTTTTTATACTTTTTATAGTTTAAAATTGTGAGATCCTTTCTTTTTCTTCCTACCCCCGACACCCTCACTCACTCTCATACCCTTTCTATCTCAAAATTCTCTACTCCATTCCTGATTCTTGGTGGTGATCTCTTTGGGTTAGGTGCTGAGTAGTTGGATTGTAGCTGGTGGGTGCGCATCTCTTCTTCCTCTTTTCCCCTTTCGTTCAAGTTCTTTTTCACTCTTTTCCTCCATTCAAGTTCTCGGAAGCTCGGATTCTTCACCGAGGTAAGGGAAGTTAGTTTTGTGGTTGATTTTGGTTGAGAATGAGTTGTTGTAAACTCATTAGTTGTTGAAGTTGTTTGATGTTTGATGATTTTTGTTGAATTGCTGAAATTGGAAGTTTTGTGGGTTTTGTGGGTTTGACAAATTTTGGGTCTTTTGATTGTTTTATGGTTGCATGTGAAAAGGTTGGTGTTTTTGAGTTGTTGGTTGGAAATGTGGCATCTTGAATGGTTTGCATGTGTTGAAATGGTGGATTTTAGCAGGATTTGGTTAAGTTTTTCAAAAATGGAGTGTTGCTGCTGAGCCTCGCGCTAAGCGCAGTTCTTCGCGCCGGGCGCGTGGCCACCAGGGGACCCCATTTAGCCAAGCTCGTCGGGCGCAATGATGAATGCGCGGGGCGCGCTTGAGAATGTGGGTCTCTGGCTGGCCCACGCTGGGCGTGACTTGGATCGCGTTGGGCGCGATACCAGTTGAAACATGTTTTGGGGTTTTTGGTTCTGCACTGAGTGCGACCCTTGTCGCACTGGCGTGAGACTCCTTGGGAGTCTCTGCCTTGTGGGCGTTGGGCGCAATTTGAATTGCGCTGGGCGCGAGACCAAGGGGAGGTCTCTGCCTTCCCCGTGCTGGGCGCTGGGTTAAGTACGCCGGGCACGTGAGACTCCTTGGAGTCTCTGCCTGGCCTGCGCTGGGCGCAATTGGTATTGCGCCAGGCGCGAGAGAGCCTTGGGCTCTCTGGCTGAGTCCCGCCGGCGCGGGCATGCTTGCGCTGGGCGTGCTAGCCCCCTGGTGCTCTCTGGTTGCACTGCGCTGGGCGCAACTACGAGTGCGCTAGGCGCGTAGATGAGATTTTTCTATATGTTGGTTAATGTTGTTTTATGCTGAGTTGAGTTGAAATGGATGAATATAATGTGATGACTAGTAGATGATGTTGGTTGATTGATATTGAATTGTATCAGGTGTATTGTGTTGCAAGTTGATATGTTGAGTTGTAAAGTTGTATTGCGTTGCAAGTTGATATGTTGAGTTGTAAAAGTTGTGTTGTGTTGAATGTTGATATGAGTTATTTTAGGCCATAAGGGCTGAGTTGTTGTAGGCCATAAAGGCTGAGTTGTTGTAGGCCATAAGGGCTTAGTTGTTGTAGGCCATAAGGGCTTAGTTGTTGTAGGCCATAAAGACTGAGTTGTTGTAGGCCATAAAGGCTGAGTTGTTGTAGGAGATCTCCGAGGTGATATGCGTAACGACGCATTATTTTGCTAATGGCTGATGTGTTGTATAACCGATGAGATGTAGACCGATGTTGTGTTGATAGTTGAAGTTGATTCTGATTTTCTTTAAATCTTGCTAGATGTGATCTTTTTATACTAGCTTACCCTTTGTTGTTTCCATGTGGTTGGATTGCTATGATCGTACTATGTACGGGAGCAGAGCAGGGATAGGTGTGTGGCTTGTGGTGAGTCTGCAGCTGGCAGGCGGAGCTGACCTTAGTTGCTGTTATGTTGTTTCAGCTACTTGGTGTAGCGGTTGATGTTGTATTTTGTTTTGGTTTGGTTGTTTTTTGCACACTCTAACTCTGGTCGGATTGGGACTTTGTATATATTTATATTCTAGATCCTATATTTATATACTCGTTCTTTCTGTCTGGTGTTTCCGGTGTACAGTGGCGTGTGTAGTGACCAGTCGGGTCCTTACAAAAATAAATATTTTTAATTTTTATATTTATCATTTTCAATCATTTTCAATTTTTATAATTTATGTAGATTTTTTAATCTCTATATTTATTATATTTTAATTTTTTTAGTCTCTATCATTAAATTTTTTATAATATTATCCATTTTGTATTGACGTAATAGATGTTTTTAATTTTGTGAGAGTAAAAAAAAGTGTCTCATCTCATGTAAGTCGCAAATGAGAATATAAAAGACATACAAAATGTGGAGAGACTTAATCTAGAATAATTTCATTAAAATAAATTTGATATCAAACATACATAATTGAATTAATATATCTATCATATCAATAAAAAAAGATAATGTTATAAAAAAATTTAACAATAAAAATTAAAATAATTAAAAAATTAAAAACATAACGATTAAAATAATCTATCTTAAATATAGAAACTTAAAAGATAGAAAAATAAATAAATATAAAAATTTAATAAGTCTATAAAAATTAAAAAATTAAAGTAAGTAAAATTATAAAAATTAAAATAAATAAATAAATTTATTTATTTATTTATTTATTTAACGTATTGCTGGGTGAGTTGATTGTAAAATTGAGGAAAGTTGAGAGTCCATTATAGCAATGGAAACATGCACATTTGCAATAATGAAAGATACTAGCTAGTGGTTTGAGTGTTGTCATGAGGCTAATAGTAATAGATGCTGCTGCTGCCATT